AGCAGAGGCAACTAACCCAGGGGTTAGTCTCCACGGGCACACACCACCTGGGTTAGGAGGCCACGCTGCTGTTGCACACCAAAGCTCACCTTGGTGCTCCCCTGGTCCTGGGCTAGCACTGCTTCCCCTGAGGGGAGTTTTAACTCAAGCAGCTGAAACAGAAACCAGGGATCAGTGGAAGACAGGGAAGCGACCAGTATGCTTCCCCTTTAGCAGCAAACCCATCCGAAGGTCTTCCCAACTAGGCAACTTCCCAAAGCTAAATACAGCCCCACCACATCGAGAACCTGACTGGAGATGTTTCACATGGGTGAGGACAAGTTTTGAATCATTTTCTATTCACATTGCATCTTCTACAGCTGAGGAATGTGCCAGCTGGATGGCACAGGAGTTCAAGACAGGAGACAACTGCAGCTAAATTCCTTGAACAAATAGCACATCCAGGTATGCTAAGAGGAGAGCACGTGGGCTGGCGTGCATTGCTGGAAGCCCCATCTCACATGTCCCCCTCCATACAGGGACTTCAGCTATATTTTCTTATATAATCGCAGCCCCTTGTTATACTGTACTCAACACAAAAAATATATGAGAACTGACTACTTTAAGGCATTTTTTTCCATGAATTTAATAAGATGTATGTGCAAACTGATTAAAATAATTGGATTTTATCATAAGCTTCACAGTACAGCTGAAATTCTCCTCCCAAAGCTCAGGAAAACGTCAGTTCAAACATACTGAGACTCCACTTGACTTTTCTAATTCATAAAGATTTTTTTTTACAGAAAAGCAACCTTTTACGTTTTAGTTTCACAAAACCTGAGGTGAAATAACCTTTTACAAGAAGATCTGTATATTTTGGAGCAAAACCAAACAGGCAAAGCAAGCACAGAAAAGAGATGAGGGCTGGCTGTATCCGAAGAGACCTATTTCCAAGTTATTTAGAGGTGCCATCTACAGTCAACCTCCTCTCTGTAGGGTGGACACCGTGCCTGTGAGGTGAAGGTAAAACAAAACCAAACCAAACCCAGATCAACTCCTGCCTTAAAACACCCACCTCCACATCAGTTGGCTGTGAATCACTGCAAGGTTCCACCTACGTGGCACAGCGTATTTATTACAGCTCCTTCACTAAAGCCCTGACACCCTTTCCAGCGTCACCACACAGCATCTCGGCACCATGGAAACAAACAACGATGGATCTTTTACTGGGAATAAAAATCAGCAGAGCATTGTGAGGATGGCATTTCCCGGCTGGAGATACTTTTTTTTGGTGGCTCCATTTATTGGTGAGTTGGACAGCAAGCTAAGGCAGTTCGAGCAACAGTTCAGCTGTCAGGAGTGCGAAAAAGCAATAGGCTATCTCGAGAGGAAAAAAAAAAAAGAGACACAGCTAGAGAAAGATTAGATAAAGACACAGAAAAGGGCTAGAAGGGGTGCCCATCCTGAACTCAATCAGCAGGGAAAAAAATTAAAAAACCCATAGCTGGAGATAAGAATTAGTATTTTTATGTCCTGAATACAGAATGTTTCATCAAAGCACCCCAGACTGTGAGCAAAGGCAGCTTTAATGATGATTGATTTCATTCTCACAATTAACCTACTGTATCTCTGTGGCAACAGAAAGGGTAGGAATAACTTGATAATGACCTGGCTTTATGCCACAGAAGCACCCAGCACCGTAAGCAGGTCGAAAACAGCTAGGATTGATATGCTGGAACACGCATGAGCAAAGGCTGCGAGCCGAGTGCCAGGTGGGACGTGCGACTCCACATATCATTAATACAACAAATAACGTGTTAACTGGAGGGCCCCTAATCCGCAGCCTCTCACCCTCTTCTGCCCAAGGGAGAAGGAGAATGCCGAAACCTGAAAGGAGATCAGGATCCCCTGGGCAGTTCACATGCAGCTCCCCGCACACGTGGCAGGGGTCAAGTTATGTGAAGTCACGCTCAAACCAAAGAAGCAGCAAAGATGTGAGAAGTGGTGAGGGGACAACACAAAGCCACCCCATAGCTCCAGTGGCTCCGAGAGATCCACAGAGGAAGGGGATGGAGAAACAGCACTGGCAGCCATCAGCAGGCAGTGCTGAGAGCAGCTGGGAGCTGCTGTGCCAGCTCTTGGCGCCGGGATGAGAGATGAACAGAGCGATACCAAGGCAGTTTGCTGGGCCAAAGCACGGCTCTGGGTCAAACACAGGGTGCAGTTGGTTCCCAGAAGTCTTGGGGGCTCAGGGAGGAAAGATTAAGTCTTTTCTTTCTTGGATCCCACCTTAACAATCAGCAAAACTTGCTTTAGAGGCAAAACCACTGTCTGCTAAAAAACAAACCAAAACCAAACAAAAAAACACCAAAACAACCAACCAAAAAGCAAACAAAAAAACCCCCACCCCCCAACAGTCTCTCAAGCTAGCTGTGAACGTGGCTCCAAAAGGAAAGAAAAGAAAGATGATGTAAGATTTGTAGGCTTGGTTGGTTTCCTCAGGCTGGACAATGCAATTTTCAAAGATTTTGCAGAACAGCTTGCACTAAGTAAACCCAATTGGAGAAGATTGCCCCACGATGTTTTGCTTTGCAAAGATTGCTCACTCTGTTTTTGAGGGAATTTTCTGCCCAGTGTAGCAAATTCATGTAATCAATCAAAATCAATTAGAATGATAATTGCTTAAGAAACATTTGCTAAAGTCATTACAGCAAAACTACAGAATGGTAAACTAATAAAAGCGACTTCAGAAAGTAGAGGGCAGTAACATATCGCTGCTGTTTTGACACTAATATTCAATATTCTTCTCTTATTTCAAAAGTTACTGAGCACCATGACCACTCTTAATTGTGAAGCTCTGTGAAATGGCCAGAGGTAACAGCAGGCTCCAGCCAGGACAGATGCACTCGTGCGTCAGATGGGTCTGGTGCAAAGTGCACACTTGAGTGTGCTGAGAAGGGGATAAGAGTCAGGGAAGGCTGCTGGTGAACTGGCTGATAATATCTTTCTGTAAAGCACTGAGCTTTAACTGCCAAAACTGGTAAGTTCATGGTTATTACTTTAGCGAGATGTCAAGTTGTAATGTCTTTTTTTAAAGCAACCTGAACTGAGAGCAGGCATAAATGACAGCAGTCAAGTCTCAGCACTACTACTGTCAGTTTTCATGGCAACCAAGTACTCATGAAAATATAACTTGAGCAGATATTTTCTTTCCATTGTCTGGCAATGCAAAAGGGAAAGGAAAGAAACAGTTGGATGAGACGAGTTACTAAATGACCAGAATGGCTTCATGCACTGCTAAGCAAAGCCAGCTCTTCCTTCCCGTTAAAAGAGAAAAGGGAGAGATCTTTGAAGTCACTGAAACGGTAAATAAATGAAACCCACTTGTGAAAGCGTCACAGACTCTGGTCAGCATATGCTCAGACCTCGCCAGAAAGCAACAGCACATCAACAGAAAGTGTCAGGGTGAGGTTCCCAGCTGAGGAACCGCTATCGCATCCATTTTCGACACCCATTGCAAGAGCCAGAGCCAGTTATAGTCACAAACGGAACCAACATACTGTAATATAAAGAGAGCGGCTGCTAGGGAGGTGACAGACACATTATAGCCCACGTTCTCAGCAGAACTTGGCAGCTTTATTTCACTCCATCAGCATGGGACATTCAACTCCTTTTCTATTTTTTTTTTCGCACAGGCTCCAGGAGCCCTCAGGTAGTTTAATACCATCTTCGCCTCGGTCTTGGATAATCACATCACTGATGTAGCGGTGGTCAGGATTAGAGGAGCAAACAGAAGATATTCAGTGCAGACTTAATTTCTCACCATCAGTATCTCCTACTTTCTACTTTTATTTACCCTTTCTGTAGCTCAAGCTTCAATAATACAAAAATTCACACGGGGTAAATAATTCTTGGAGACAGAAACAGTATAGACAGCCGAGCATGAAGCGCAATCATCTAAAATGAACTCCTTGTTGAAACGTTCAAAAGCAGAAGAATAATACAGGGGAAATCAATCAATCCAAACAAAGATGTACTTTACGAATATTCTGTCATCAGCAAAATAAGCCACATGAGTTCTACACTGATATAACAATTCTCTGCCTGAACTGCTAAATCTGACTATCCTTGAACCCCAGAGAACACACCAAGTCTTACTATTTTGGAACGAGACAACGTTTCTACAACAGACTTGGGAAACTCGTATTCAGGGGTGTATGGGCTCATCTGAAACAACTATATTCCGCTACTACATTACAAGATTTTCGGTTCGCCAGGAATGTGTTCCTATCCCCTGCTTAGCGCTCTAGGGTCTACAAAATTAAATGTAGGGGTTGTGGTTGGACAGTGTTCATGAAAAAGCTTTTAGAGGTTGTGCAGCTGCTCTCTATTGAAATCTACAGTAACTGTGCATCTGTTGAGTCTATTGGCACTTCTAAGATGGAAATTTTACAGCACAGCACCAGACATCATCTATTAAAGATGTTATTACATAAATATAAAACCACCAAATATGAAAAGCCCATTCACTATTGTTACTGAAATTATCTCTGTTTTTTGAAAAAGTTGTGCTCTCAACAGGTTACTCAATCTCTTCTGATCCTGGTGGGCTACAAATGTTAGCCAGTTATGTTGACTTAGCCTAGGTTAATTTTAATCTGCTTAATTTAGTTACTGTTGAGTACTTGTATCACCTACCCATCTGTCTCAACTTAGATAATTTTGGATATTTTTGAGCAACAACTCCCTTCGCTAATTAGAATTATGAAGATTTTTGTTTTAAACAAAAATCAAAACCAGCAAAGATGGTGTTAGATGGTACTTTACTGGGAAAGGGAAAAATACCAGTGCAGCTGGCTGCATAGTTCACCTTCTAATTCTAATGTTTTTGAAAGCAAGCAAGCAAAGTGCCAAGCTCTTCCTAGTGAATCTGGAAGTGTTGGGAAAAGCACATGGTCTAAATGGACACAGGGCGGAGGCTGTCAGCAGAAAGGCTCCAAGTTAGTACTTCATCCTCACAGCCACAGTGCTCTCCCATGGGCTTTACAGAAGTGACCACATGGCAACGACCCCAGCCAGAAGTTAACAGAGTAGTATCAACTGAAAACCAGTATATCAGGCTCTACATAGTGTGAAATACATGCATACATATATATATATATATATCGCTAACTAGTCTCTTTGCTGTTGAAAGTAAAGACACCGCATGACACACATCACCTACAAATAGACTTGAATTTTCCTTGCTTTCCCATTCAGTTACCCCACCCGCTCTACAAACAACAGAAATACCCATTTGGCTGTGTGCCTGGCTGAAGCAATCAGTTATCCAGTCCATAAGGTTGGTCAGGAAACTCGGAGTTTCCTATTGCTCCTCCTCTCCTCATTTGCTCCTCTTCATTGGACTGTTATTAAGAGAAATAACTTCCATTCTGTCTCAAGTCCAAGAAAGACGGAGAACAAAAGAAATATAAGTACTTAAGACAATTTGTTCCCTTCCCCATTTCCTCAACATCCACTCTCATCTTTTCTTAAGTTTCCACAAGTAGTAAAGGCATTTTCTTGTTTCATCCCAGCTGGGTCATCCAGCTAATACTGGGATAATTCATCACTACAATTTATCCCTGAAACCAAGATGCTACTAGAATTACTGAAAGGATTGGACATGGATGTGGATAACAGCAGCGCTTATGTTTACAAGAAGAGAAAGACGTAAGTCCTATTGCAGATTATATAAACCAATACTACTGCTTGGAATAGAGGTGGTGTTTATAGCCAGGCTCTTCCACAGTTGTCCATTCTGGGCATTTCATACATTCCAGAAAGCCCGTTATCTTCAGGATACTAATTTTGCTGTCAAAGTCAACCTGTGAGTCTTGTGGCATAGAGACCAATTGTGATATGGGATAAGCAGAACATGTCTTTTCACACTATAGGCTCCATGAAAAAAAAAAAATTAAAGTTAATAACAACCTGAAACGCATTAGGTGCAAGCGCCATGAGACTGCCTTCCTTAGACATAACGCTTCTGGAGATGGCACACTGTCTGTTCTCAATCTGCAGGCTAGTTTTGTGCCTTACACTCCTATATTTCCTACCAGTCATGTGTGTCATGAAACAACTTTTAGACACAAAAAGCACTCGTGGAAAACAGACATCCACTGAGAGATCAGACAAACATCTAGTCCTCCCCCATAGTTTAATCTGGACCATATGACTTTCCAAATCATCCTTGGAGTGCAGACATCAATTAGCAAATGGAAAACTGAGCATGAGCCACAACATTTTGCAAATAGATTGATGAGAAATGCTTCCAAACAAACTCATGATGCTGATTAATCGAAGGAACCTAATGAGAATGTGCACTGACAGGAGCTTATCATCTCTGTATTAATTCACACTTACTGATAGCTTTGCAAGCACAAAAATCAAGGACTGTAGGGTTCCCTGTTGTTTTGATTCTTGAAAAGCAACCCCAGTTATATGTACTGCCCTAAATATTAAAATCAAGCAGAATTTAATAAAAGCAATAATCAGGCTGCTCACTATCTGTGAATCAAAACTTAAAATCACAGTGAAGAAACATATTGTTCATTGGTGCCCAGTGCGAAATAACAAACATAACAAGCAGCCGTACCATTGAATTTTTCACACTCTGCAACAAGCGCTCGTGTTGTTCTGCTATGGCCAAAGCAGCCGAGTGAACCTTCTGATAGATTGCTTCCCCATCTCTGGTCTGAAAGATGAATAGTCCTTCTCCTGTGTCACACATCCTGCCGAAGCAAGAACAGACGGGATCCAAATGTGAGATTTAAGTTTACAGATCACCATGAGCAAGCAAAACTTTACCACGCTGCTCTAAAAGTGCTATCGTACAGGCAGTAAGAAAACAAAGGTTGTTGAAATATGGAAGGAAGTTACCTAAAAGTCTTTGCATATGAGCTTGTCTCCGCTGGGATAGAGTTAATTTTCTTCCTAGTAGCTGGCATAGTGCTGTGGTTTGGGTTTAATATGAGAAGAATGTTGATAACACAGGGATGTTTTAGTTGTCGCTGAACGGTGCTTGCACCAGTCAAGGACTTTTCAGCTTCCCCTGCTCTGCCAGGGCCACAAGAAGCTGGGAAGGGGCACAGCCAGGACAGCTAGCCCCAACTGGCCCAAGGGCTATTCCAGACCATACAGCACCACGCTCAGTATAGAAACTGGGGGGAGTTGGCCGGGGGCAGCAATCGCTGCTTGGGGATGAGCTGGGCAGTGGGTGATGAGCAATTGCATCGTGCATTACTTGTTTTGTGTATTCTTTTATCGTTATTATTATTGTTGTTATTGTTGTTATTATTATTTTCCTTGGCTTTTTTATTAAATTGTCTATCTCAACCCATGAGGTTTACCTTTTTTTCCTCCAATTCTCTCTCCCATCCCACTGGGATGGGGTGGGGGCAGGGAGAGTGAGTGGGCAGCTGCGTGGTGCTTAGTTGCCAGCTGGGGTTAAACCATGACAGGGTCTTACCACCCCCAGTCCAATCTTCCTATTGTAGCCCGTATTTGTATTGCTCTTCCAAGCAGGGGCTCAGTGAAGTACCTCTGATCTATCAGAAGTGCTTAAGCTCTGGAGAGTTCTTGTGCAAGACCCAGATTTTTAATATTTAGACTCTATCTAGAATCTGTGCCAGGTAGGATTAGTCTGTCTTCCCTCTTCAGACTTTTAACACTGCCTGTAATGAGTTTTTGCAGAGTTTTGTCTTCCACTTGAAACAAATACATACCCTCAGCACCCCAATCGCATTGTTTTATCATGGCTAATGCATGATCAATTAAATAAAAATGTATTCTTTTCCCCCCTCCTAGAGGACTAAATTCTGCAGTAATATGGAGGACAGAAATTTAAATGCCTCTTCCCTTTCCAGAGAAGTTAATTGTATGATCTGTTTCTCTTTTACTATTGTGATTCTTTAATGTGCTTATCTAAAATAATGCATCCATATCCCTCAGAAAGGATTTGATAGTTTAGTTCAATAAATAAGTGTTCCAACTTCAGCCACACAAAGACTTCAGCTCATTAAGACTGAGCTGCAGGAAACAATACAGAACAACATCTCTAAAACAAGGAATTGCATTCAAATTTCTTATAAATCCATTTGTCAAATAGATGGAAACCAGGAATATAATCAAAGGAAAACAGGAGTGCCTTCTCCGTTTTTTGGTTTGCTTTTGGGAAACAACTTGGCACTCACTACTCTCAACTTCAGACTCTATTTCTCCTGGTACAGAACCCATTACTCTGTGCCCAAAGGCCCATGTTATACAAATTCTGGAATGATGTTTGCCCCTTCTTCTCAGATCTGTCCATCCAATTCTCTGGCTCATATAACCCTTTATTTAAGAACAACCCCATACAGTAATGGACAATGCTGCCAGCCTCCACCCTGCAGTCCCCTGGGGTTCCACAGCTCTCCCACCCCCATCCTCAGGCACTTTATTTGGCAACTGCTTCCCTTCAAGCTGCAACCTGGGATTAAGAGGGGGTTTTATTTGTTTTTATATTTGTTTCAATATTTATTTTTTTTTAGCAGAGGATACAGACTAGCCTCTACCTGAAGATAAGCTCTGATGTCCCTCAACAATGTTCAGAAGTGGTCCACAGCACCACCCAGCACCACTGAGGAAAGCAATGCAATATGGGAACACACACACCTACCTCCCTGCTTCAAACGTGAACCAAGATGGGTCCCGCCCGTAGCGTCGGAGGGCACTTAATGGCCAAGAGATGAGTTTTACTCTGGGATTCTGGATGTCCCAAAGACAGATATTCTCAAATGTTATCTGCAAGGTACATTCCCCATGCACATCTAAATTAGGGGATGGCATCAAATACACATTGAATCTCTCTGGGAGAAAAACAAAAGGTTAGTCTAAAATCCCTGCCCTTTAAATGTACAAGTCATTAAAGGAATTTCCTATTTTCCACCTCTATTACAAGATCTTATTTCCACTTTGAACAATTAATTCAGAAACAAAGACTCAATTCCATCTAATAACTCAGTAAACTCCATGTTCAGGGCAGTCAGAATGCTGCACTCAAAGGGCATCAAAAGTTCGTGCATGCATTCGGATACCAAAGAGAACTGCACCATCATATTTTCAAACCATGAATAAAATTGTGTACATGAATAAATAAATTGCAATTGCATTTGTGTATCTAATTAGTTAATTTGCATAGGAAAGTGAAATAGCCATGGGCTGAGGTTTTGCATGCAATTACTACTGTTTTATTATTTGCTTTACCGTGTTGCCAAAGAGCCTCAGTCACAGACTGAAACTGTTGTACAGACATCACACAAGAAAACACACACCAAAAGATAGTCCCCATATCCAAGAGCAGCTAATTTGTCCAAGAAAGAAAAATGCAATTCCAAGATAATCCTAGGTACCTTACTTATTATCTCTGGTAGAAAAAGTCAAAAAAAAAAACCCCACAAACAAAAAAAAGCCCCATAAAACAGGAAGGAGGGCTTGGAAAAACAATTTTGCAATTTATGTCTGATATTCACATGCACAGTCCAAAAGACTTTAAAATAATGCAATTAAAGCTTTAAAAGGTCAACATTTATGTACCTACCACTCTGCTCCCTCTCTACTCCAGATGCCAACAGGTCAGGCTCTCCAAGGCTAATGTCATTAATTCGCGTTCCAAGACACTCCATCTGCAGCACCTTGCACCACTCATCTGCCTCAAGTTCTGCATAAAAGCCCAGAACATCTGTGTGTAGGTATAATACATCCATAATTTCACAATTAATGCTCTTATGTTTTCTAATGTGCGTTGCCATTTTACCCACCTGACTCACAAGCAAAGGTTTTTGATGTGTCATCATTAAAATAAATCCCAACAGCATGCTTCTTTGTGCTTTTTGGCATTCGTAATATATTCTTCACATTATTGAGCTCTGTGACCTGAAAAAGCACAACTTGGAGTTTTAATTAGGAGCTTGAAAAGATATATATCCCTTATTGATAGAGAGGGAGAGAAAAGAATTATATTATGTTTCAAAGGACAGAGAAAAGGAGCGAGAGCACGAACATGCTTATGATTGCTCTTAAAGAAATGCAGCCTTGACATAAATCACCTTAGACAATCAACTTGAAGACCCTGGATGGTAAAGCATCCATGTCCTCCAGTTCTCTCATCTGTACGTGAGCTTCAGTGCAGCACCATCTGAACAGGATTTTAGCCAAGGGGAAGCTAGAATCAAAGCTCGCTCCAGTTTGAGAAATATTTACGTGAAGGACATGAGAAAGACCAACCTGATGTAGCAGAAGCAAAGAGAGGTGAAGATAAAAATCTAAAGGATTCACCCATCTGGAGGAGCAAGTCCAGTTCCAGTACAGCTTTCGCTGTGGAGGACAAAACTGTAAGAATGGTGAAAAGCTGCTCTCTAAATTACTTTTTGACAGAAAGTTGAGGATTTGTTAGCATGGTCCACTTACCAAAAAAAAAAAAAAAAAAAAATACAGTTTTAGTTATTAGAAAGCTTTTTAGCTTTAAAGATTCACAGACTTACCAACACAGATTTCTGTTGCTTGGTTGCCAAAAATGGATTGGAAAAAATAGCTTTCATGCCAAAAAAATAAAGATGTATCTGTTTCCTTGTATACAGCTTTACTAAATACATACTACAGTTGCTTCATATTTCTAACATCCACTTTTCACCCTCACAGCCATAAGTAACACTCCTAAATTTGACTGAGGAGGAATTCTTCATTATTTAAATTCCTTTTAATATAAAGGTTAACACCTAGACAGGGAATCAGGAAGTTATATTTAAATATTCATTATGAGAAAACATTTCACTGATTCTTTTACATGGTTGGGGTTGAAGAGAGAGAGAGAAAGAGAAGGAATTTAACAGAAATGTTCCCAAAGCTGTACAGCCTAACAGCTTCACTACTTTGGTCTCATTAGTCCTGTGGAATAGTCTCATATCAACCTGTGTCGACTCTAAACAAAAAAATGCAGCAATAGATAAGGCTCTGGACGTCTAAAGTGTTATCAGTGGTGTAGGGCCCAGCAAGAGAAACCACTGCTCCAGAGCATCTTGGGCTCACCAGCACACCCACCCATCTCTCTGGCCCTTCATCCTAACTCACTCTCTTCTCGGAGGCAATCTATTGCCTGTTCCTTCCAGCAGGGGAGAACAGCCAGCCAAAATCACATTCTCAAGCAAGAAGCAAGACCCCTGAAAAGGTAATCTTGCTGGGAATGGAAGGAACAAAGAGCAGTTGGTGGGCAATGTCCCCCCAAAATAAAAATAAGCAACACCTCCAATGTCCAGAAACTCACTCTAGGGGCAGTAGCAGAAGGAAATATTGGAAGGAACATCCCACGGGGAACACACCAAACCATCTGCATAGCTGCCAAATTTAGAACTCAGGTTTTCATAGCCTCCAGGTTCAAGATTTTGAGAAGTGTCAAAACTGAGACTTCCTAACTGTGCTTAATTTTGCATGAGCATTTTTTTACTCTTCCAGGAAATTCTGCGATGGAAGTACATCCCCCAGTGCTAACAAGGCACCGACAAACTCATTGTTAAATATGACAAATCTGTCAGAACCTATTCCCATCGTGCTCAGCACATGACAGGTCAAGCACAAATTGCCAGCTGCCAAGTTCAGCTCTCATATATTTTTCTCATATGCCAAGAAAGGATTCTAATGCAAGAGGAAAAAAAGAGCTCGACTTTTTCATTCAGGACAGCAACCCCCCTGACATTTATACTGAGCACATTTACATTTTCTGCAAGTGAACGTGCTAATGAAGTCTTGTCCCTATGAGTAGAAAAGTTAGCAGAAGCAGAATGCAGCCATACATTTTGGTAATGAATCATTCAGCTATCTAGGATTTGCCCTAATGGAAAGCTTATTTCTTAAAATCAGGCACATTGCACACCTACTGCTGGATAGCCCAATAATAGTCTCTAGCCTGGTGAACCCTGTGGATGCTGTGACAGGGCTCGGTGAGATCAGGAAAGGTTTATACTAGCCAGGGAACAGCACACTGCCTCTGCGCTTTCAGCAGTTGGGAGGCTCAGAAGTACCAACCGGTCAGCCCGTGCCCCCCGCCAGCCCCTGGTGATGGGCAGCATGTGCTGCCTCTGCCCCTGGCAAGGAGACACCCTGCTTCCTAGGATGGGACGCAAGGGACACTTGTCCGTGTGGGAGGCTGCTAGCTACTGCACAGGGCTGGGAAAGAAATCACAACCGACCAACCCAACTAGTATCACTAACGAGTCTGAGTTCAGACCGAGTCATGCGCCTCCAGGCCAGATGTTCACAACGCTGCTGGGAACACGAGAAGGACAAGGTTCAAACATTAGCTTTGTCTGCCTACCTAAAGGAGAGACATTTCTGATCACTGTTTCTTACACTATGACTCCAACCTTGTGCATCTGATCTTTGTCACTGCCAGCATCCCTAAGACCACACTTTACCCCCCAAGCTGCCCTGTTTTACTGTCGTTAGGGCTGCAAACTGCAACTATTGCCCAATCTCCCTACATGAGCTCATGCAGCTTCTGCATCCCTGGCACAGAGTATCCATCACCCATTTCCTCTCATTTCTGTACTAGTAGAGACATCCTGTACTTTCCAGTCTCTGCACTCCAGCTCACCCCTATCCCCCCACAGGCTTCCAGCCTTGCACTCTGTCCCTTAGGTGTCATATCCACATTGCAGCTCTAGGACTGCATCATCTCTGAACCCAGCCACCAGGACTGAGATTTGCTCCTGCCAATATCTCAGATACCTGTGGTCTCCCTCCAGTCTAGGGCTTCATATCAGCAGCAGTTGGTCATTCCCACAAGATTTACCCAGCACCTAGAGTAGGACAGAAGCCACGGACATGCCTTACAACCAAGAATTTTCTTTCTTTAGATCTCCCAGTCAAGAAGAGTTTCACCAAAAGTTACACTACAGCTCCTCCTCCATCCTATGGCCCAGCACAGCAATCTCACCACTTCTCCCCCCTGAGCGAGGACAGACACTTCAGGCTACAGCCACTTCAGTGCACCATTAGGGAGCTGTGCAAAACTCAAGGTGTCCAGAAGTATGGTGGCTGGGTGACTTGAACTCATGACAGCAGAACTCCTGCATTCCCCTTTAGAAACAACTAAATATGAAAAAAGCATGAATATAATGGTATCATTGGTTTGGAGCTGAGAATAGCAATAATTTTTTCCTTCTTATCATAAGTTCCTCTCAAAAGCCAGTTAGTTACTGCAGTAAAGTACTTCTTTGTAATCTCAAATGCAGAGTAATATATTCCAATAGAGATTTTAAAAGAATCAGCTCATGCTTGAAATCCCAAAGTTCATCCTTCTGAACAGAAAAATTTGTTTTCATTTGAATATGCCTTCTCCTACATTTGCTTTTTATTACTGTACTCCCTCCAAGCCTACTGTCTTATGAAGATGACAATGCAGATTATCCAAGATATTATTTATCTCTTATCTGTTGCCTTTGCAGTATTCAGTGGTCTGTTTTGCTCTTCTGGGGTATCAACCAGCGGTTAATTCATCTCTCTAAGCAAAAACTCTCCCCAAGTCAACATAAGAGCAGAGATGAAGATAGAGAGCACACAAGCGTGCCACTGACCTGGGTGTTAGTGCAAGGGCAACTCGGACTGATGGGCTTTGCCCGGGGTCTGCAGGGTGGGTGTACATGGAAGGGAGGAAAAAGGGGTACAGAGATGGGTGAACATGAACAACTTAATGATATGAGGATTATTTTTTTAGTGTGTTTACAAAGCTCTATCCTAAGCCCCTTCCTCATCACTTTGCCTCTACTTCTGAGTGCTACATGCTGGAAGAAGGGACAGGACGGGGACCCAACGTAAGTCCGCACACTGCAGCAGCGTCAGGTGCTTCCAGGAATCACCTTGTGCTCTGTGTGAATGCAGACTGCAAGGCACTGCAGCCATGTACCAAAACCACTCCAAGAGCCCTGGCTCACAGCCTGGTCAAATAAAATTGCAGGCGATTTCACCCCTTGGGTGGTATCTTGAATAAATACTAGAATCAATAGTATTGTGTCATTAATTTCACCGATCATCAAATCCTTTGTAATTTATGTTTTAGCTCTGAACTGGGGAAAAAAAAAAAAGGTATTTATATTTGGCAAAGTGCTAGCTACAACATTTGGCAGCTCCTGGGTTATTTTGTGCTGCATTGACTGCTTGAGAGCTTTTGTATAATGGCATTTCACAGAGCATGGTCTGAAAGCCTTCCCACGCTTCTGAAGATTTCCTGATGGCATTTGCTTCTGTTGAGCTGCACAAGCTGACACCAAAGCATCTCCCTTTGAAGGGTGACAGGCAGGTAGCCCCCAGTTCCGACCTCTGACCCAGGTCCAAAGGTCTACTACTGTAATATGCACACGCTCTAGCCACTTCCCAGCAGCTTTCAGACTAAGCTTTTCTTTGGTGTCAGACCTAACAGACATAGGGAGAATGACAGATGGACAAAATCTGGCACTCTGGGACTCTGAAGTCAGTGGCACAAGTGACAGCATGCAGAAGAATCACTTGCATTGAGTCTTTTAGCTCATGCGTGCCTCTGTCCTGGATACAACCTTGTGGCACCTCATTTTAACATCTGGCAGAAATACACTCAATAAGCAGCTGACCTGTCCTCCCTTTTGGGACTGAGCCGTTGAAGTTGCCTTCGCCTTTCAGAGGTTCAGAGGTACTCCAGGAGGGTAACAGCCCCTCCTGGCAAGACCCAGCTTTAGCCAAGAAGCTCTGCCCACTGCCAAGGCTCAACAGCGCACCTGCACTCCTGGGGGAGAAGCTGTCTGAAGATCACTTGGTATCTGACCCGCTGTGTCACCCGGCAAGGTGCTTCAAAACGCCATCGTTATCCCAGGTGCCTAAATAGCCTTCCTGTTGCTCACCCTTACACA